AAAAAATGTCTTAAATACAAAGCAATTTTATAGCAAATTTCGCTCAGATTTGTATACAACTCACAGGAGCTGATATAGTCTCTGAGCTAAGGTAGCTTTTGAAGTTATTGAATCTTTGCTTGCATTTCTTAAAGAAGTCATTTCTGCTATTTTTGGAGGAACTCTTCCTATGAACCTTTTGGTCGCACTTTGAAATTTAAGAGAATTCCTCAAAAACATTTGTTATGGGCACTCCATTGTCATGTGAGAAGGTCTAAAACTTGTTTGGATCTCTTTTCTTATCCGATTTGTTGCTGATTCTTGCATTTGTTGTTGATTCTTGCATTTGTTGTTTAATGAAATGGAAATATTTGTTTAATGTTGGGCTAGTAAATTTTTATTATTATCACCACTTGTAGGAATTGATAGGTTTCTCTTTAACAATGAAATTAAAATGGGAAAAAGTTTGGGAAATTGATAGGTTTCTCTTTAACATTGAAATTAAAATGGGAAAACCCAATCTGAGCAAAAATTGCTATAAATAAATCTGGGCCAAAACTGTCCCAAATATCGATTGTTCTTAATTAGATCTTTCTCTCTTCATTGCTTGGTGAATTTTGATTCATCCTCTAGTTATATCACCTGGGGCATACATGCCCTGTAAGTTACTAGATTTCGGGGGGTTGCCTGTAAGTAACAATTGATAGGGCAATAGCAGGTTCAACATTGACGTGTCTAAGGTTTAGCATTGATGTGTCCAACACTCAAAGTTTGCATCATGTGTTAGGGCCTGGTGAAATTCCATGGATAACTGAGGCCTGCATATTATGTTTGGAGATATATAAAGCCTTATATAGCAACCTTTACTATTAGAATGCATACAAATAGAAGGTTTCTTTTTTCTTTTCTTTTTTTCTAATTTTGTGTATTGTCTTTTATTATCTCTCATATTTCATTATATTGAGTTCGAGATTGAGTTTCCTTTTTAAGATAAGGTAATGAATCTATGTCATGCTAGTATTTTTTGCTATTTGTTGTTCCTCTACTCTCTGATAAGGTATAGTTTGCGTATGTTCACTTCAATGGCTGATGCAATCCATGGTTGCAACAGAGTGTGAATAGGGCATTTGAGCTCATCTGATCATTTTAACTGAATGGATCTCGACAACCAATTCCCTCTAAGGATTTGTAAATGCAAACCAGGATGTGGTTGGATTGTGTGTTTATATCAAAGACGCACGATAGCTACAATAGGCTTTCTATAAATACTCTAACTGGAAGGTTAATATTCTTTCATTAAGATAATGTAGGAGCATTTTGGTGTTCCATTGTAAACATATATCTAACACACATTTATCTTATCTTGTTAACCACTAGAATGAGATTGGATGCGGCTATGTAGAGTAGTGTGATGAAATTCTAGGTGAAGAAAGGAAGCCTGTAGTTAAAAGGTTCGTATCTCAGAGGCCATATGCTTGTGCTGTTGATGGAGTAGATGCATCTATGTTGAGAAAGAGAAGCGCAAATCTGTTGCTATGGTCCCTAAAAAAGCAGACATTCAAAAAAAATTTCTTATATGTGTAATTTTGTTAATGATAATGATGTTTGCCCTCATTTTTTTGTAAAAAGAATGGGTATATGTTTTATGGTATCTATATATTTATAATTGCATACACTTAATTTTTGGTGCTTTTGTGGTTTGAACGGTGAACACTTTACTTGCTTATAGTACATCGTGAATGAATTGGTATACCTTTGAGTTTTATAGTGCTCGAGCATCAGATATTCTTAAGTGCTTTGAATGGTGATAGCTGAACGAGTAGGTACTAATTTTTTTTGGTTTTGGAGTTTGAATGGTGAAAGCTGAATGATTAGGTGTTAATTTTTTTAGTGTTATTCTTAAGTGCTTGTTTGGAGTAGGATTGTCATACTAAGTATCCTAAAGCTTGTTTAAAGCGATTGTATTGATGCTTCAACTTATTGTACTGTTTAAAGCTTGTTTATTGTATTGATGCTTCAATTGTGTTTACATGAGTTTGCAGCAGTTAATTCTATTGTAATATTATCAGATGAAGTACTTTTCTTTTTGAAAATGTTTGGCTTGATGTCTCAGGATTGTAGCTCGATTGGCATAGTGATGCCTAGTTGTTTTTGGATATTTTATTCTTCACCTGTTTGATGCATCTTTGGGTAGATCTATGAGAAAAAATGTGTTCATTAATTCTCTAATATGTTTTGAGAGTTGGTGTATTGAGTTTCGAGAGGGTCTCATGGTGATTAAATTAGGGAATTTGTGCCTTATTTCTCTGCTAAAAAGAACCAAGTAAAAGATTCACTTGTTATTGCACCAAGTACATATATCGTTAATATCACATGCAGGTTCTAGCTCATCTATTTGTTGCTTTAATTATGAGATCAGATTATATCATAAGGTGCCTTTGCCGATAGTCAGTTTAAACAATACGCCACTAGCCTAGAAAAGGTAGTAGACGCCTCAAATCACATTTGGATTTATCTAAAACGGCCGAGTTCATCGTGCCATTGGCATGGCAAAACTTTCCATGTCAAGAAACGGAAAGAAAATGTCATTGGGCCTCATCGCATTAAGCACTCAAAGGATTAAGGAAAGCTAAGGAATGTTCCTTTTATGCATTGTGACCTCCTGCATATGCTTTTTGATAGCTCCAACCCCTCTGATCGCAGGCCCAAGCTTTAAATGTTTCAGAATGCAATACGAGTTTTAATCAAAATTCAGCTTCAGCCACACACTTGGACAACACCTTCACACTTAGTCCTATCTACATACACTGAGAGCATCCCAATCTATAGCATCGTATGCTAAACCCAATTGTCGAATTACATAGAAAGCTTACTCTAACCAACTCAATCCTTTGTTACAACTACTCATGATGTCAATGCCCCATCCAAAATGTCTTCCATAATATAAGCTCTATTGCAATTGTGGTCCCCAACACTCCCTCGGTCTTATTCAGACAAAAGTCTTTACAAGCCCTCTGCGATCAGAGGGCCTCATGGTGATTAAATTACGAATTTTGTGCCTTATTTCTCTACTGGTTATGAAAAATGAATAAACTCTAACAAAAAAACTACTGAAAATTGAAAAAAAAAATAAAATAAAATAAATAAAAACAAGTTCAAATCCATTTATAGAGTGAGATACATCCCAATCATACTACTCCAAAAATGGTTTCAAAGGAAATCCAATCGGGTTTGTAAATGGAAAATATTATCAATAGTGAGAGAAAGATGCCAAACCAGTGAATATCACATCTCAAAATAATAAACCTCAAATATCCATTGTCTTCAAAAAAGAAAAAAAAAAAAATTCTTGATATGGTTTTCTCTGAGCTCAACTTCAAACCATACATTATTACAAGCTGTAAACTAAAACAAATGAAGAGCAAAGGGGTTTCTCTCTCTAGAGAATACTAAGAAAAATGGGCCTTTGCAATATAACAGTCATAAATAAGTCTTTCTCTATCTCTAGTAAAACTAAAGAACAGAAAGCCATTGCATATAGAGATAGAAGTACATACATGCTACAAAAAAAGCCATACACAATCTGGAATTAATCCCCATCCATATATGAAAAATAAGTATATACATGCTACAAGAAAAAGCTTCAGCATTCAACCATTGCATATAGAGATAGAAGTACATATATGCTACAAAAAAACCATACACATTCTGGAATTCATCCCGATCCATATATGAAAAATATGTATATACATGCTACAAGAAAAAGCTTCAGCATTCAACACATTGGATATTGAGACAGAAGCAATTAAAATCTTGGCATATGCATTCAACATACCCATGGTAAAGAAGAGGAAAAAAAAAAACTTGAAACCAACAGGTTCAGCCCCAAATCAACAACCATAAACTGCCCCTAAAAAGAAAAAAATTAGCCTCCAGGCCAATTTACACAATTTCGGGACTTCAATGTACACAGCCACGGCTCCAATTCTTAAATTGAGTTCTATCAATCTACTTAAAGGTGTAGAAAACACAATTACCTCATGTTTCCACTAATGGGTTATCCTTTAAAGCATTTACAACTTTCACTTTCTGCGTCACAAAATCTGCACAAAGACATGATCAAACAATCAGCAAATATAAACTCCAATCTTTTATAGAAGAATTGGAAATATAAGATGATAAGAACATGCATGGATCATGAAAAATGTATTGTTTAACATAATACCTTCAAGGAATTCATATCTTCTCGATTTCTGCTGCCATCTTATTGATCCGAAGTGCACGACGTGTTTTGTCCTTAGCACTGTAAGAGGAAGATAAATTCATATGTTAGCATTTAAATTGAAGCTAATACAATTGTAAATCATATACATCAACAATAATGACAATAATACAATTGCAAATCAAATTAATGTAAAGGTATAAAAAACGGCCGAGTTCATCATGCCATTGGCATGGCAAAACTTTTCATGTCAAGAAACGGAAGGAAAATGTCATTGGGCCTCATCGCATTAAGCACTCAAAGGATTAAGGAAAGCTAAGGAATGTTCCTTTTATGCATTGTGACCTATATATGCTTCTTGATAGCTCCAACCCGTTTGATCGCAAGCCCAAGCTTTAAAGGCTTCAGAATGCAATAAGAGTTTTAATCAAAATTCAGCTTCCGCCACACACTTGCACAACACCTCCACACTTGGTCCTATCTACATACACTGAGAGCATCCCAATCTTCAACATCGTATGCTACCCCCAATTGTCAAATTACATAAAAAGCTTTCTCTAACCAACTCAATCCTTTGTTACAACTACTCATGATGTCAATGCCCTATCCAAAATGTCTTCCATAATAGAAGCTCTATTGCAATTGTGGTCCCCAACACTCCCTCGGTCTTATTCAGACAAAAGTCTTTACAAGACCTCTACAATCAGAGGCCCTCATGGTGATTAAATTACGAATTTTGTGTCTTATTTCTCAGCTGGTTATGAAAAATGATAAATTCTAACCAAAAGACTACTGAAAATTGAAAAAAAAAAAAAAGGAAATATAAACATATTCAAATCCATTTATAGAGTGAGATACATCCCAATCATACTACTCCAAAAATGGTTTCAAAGGAAACCCAATTGGGTTTGTAAATGGAAAATATTATCAATAGTAAGAGAAATACGCCAAACCAGTGAATATCACATCTCAAATCAGTAAACCTCAAATATCCATTGTCTTCAAAACACAAAAAAAAAAAAATTCTTGATATGGTTTTCTCTGAGCTCAACTTCAAACCATACATTATCACAAGCTGTAAACTAAAACAAATGAAGAGCAATGGGGTTTCTCTCTCTAGAGAATACTAAGAAAAATGGGTCTCTACAATATAAGAGTCATAAACGAGTCTTTCTCTATCTCAAGTAAAACTAAAGAGCAGAAAACCATTGCATATAGAGATAGAAGTACATACATGCTACAAAAAAAGCCACATTTATTCTGGAATTCATCCCCATCCATATATGAAAAATAAGTATATACATGATACAAGAAAAAGCTTCAGCATTCAACCATTGCATATAGAGATAGAAGTACATATATGCTACAAAAAAAGCCATACACATTCTGGAATTCATCCCAATCCATATATGAAAAATAAGTATATACATGCTACAAGAAAAAGCTTCAGCATTCAACACATTGGATATTGAGAGAGAAGCAATTAAAATCTTGGCATATGCATTCAACATACCCATGGTAAAGAAGAGGAAAAAAAAAAAACTTGAAACCAACAGGTTCAGCCCCAAATTAACAACCATAAACTGCCTCTAAAAAGAAAAAAATTAGCCTCCAGGCCAATTTACACAATTTCGGGACTTCAATGTACACAGCCACGAAAAGATGCTACAATTCTTAAATTGAGTTATGTCAATCTACTTAAAGGTGCAGAAAACACAATTGCCTCATGTTTCCACTAATGGGTTAGCATTTACAACTTTCACTTTCTGCGGCACAAAATCTGCACAAAGACATGGTGAAACAATCAGCAAATATAAACTCCAATCTTTTATAGAAGAATTGGAAATATAAGATGATAAGAACATGCATGGATCATGACAAATGTATAACATAATACCTTCAACGAATTCATATCTTCTCGATTTCTGCTGCCATCTTATTGATCCGAAGTGCACGACGTGTTTTGTCCTTAGCACTGTAAGAAGAAGATAAATTCATATGTTAACATTTAAATTGAAGCTAATACAATTGTAAATCATATACATCAACAATAATGACAATAATACAATTGCAAATAAAATTAATGTAAAGGTATCAAAAACGACCGAGTTCATCATGCCATTGGCATGGCAAAACTTTCCATGTCAAGAAACGGAAGGAAAATGTCATTGGGCCTCATCGCATTAAGCACTCAAAGAATTAAGGAAAGCTAAGGAATGTTCCTTTTATGCATTGTGACCTGTATATGCTTCTTGATAGCTCCAACCCCTCTGATTGCAGGCTCAAGCTTTAAAGGTTTTAGAATGCAATAGGAGTTTTAATCAAAATTCAGCTTCAGCCACACACTTGCACAACACCTCCACACTTAGTCCTATCTACATACACTGAGAGCATCCCAATCTATAGCATCGTATGCTATACCCAATTGTCGAATTACATAGAAAGCTTACTCTAACCAACTCAATCGTTTGTTACAACTACTCAAGATGTCCATGCCCTATCCAAAATGTCTTCATAATAGAAGCTCTATTGCAATTGTGGTCCCCAACAATTCCACGGTCTTATTCAAACAAAAGTCTTTACAAGCCCTCTGCGATCAGAGGGCCTCATGGTGATTAAATTACGAATTTTGTGCCTTATTTCTCTGCTGGTTATGAAAAATGAATAAACTCAAACCAAAAAATACTGAAAATTAGAAAAAAAAAAAAAAAAGGAAATATAAACAAGTTCGAATCCATTTATTGAGTAAGATACATCCCTATCATACTACTCCAAAAATGGTTTCAAAGGAAACCCAATCGGGTTTGTAATTGGAAAATATTATCAATAGTGAGAGAGAGACGCCAAACCAGTGAATATCACATCTCAAAATAGTAAACCTCAAATATCCATTGTCTTCAACAAACAAAATCAAAAAAATTTCTTGATATGGTTTTCTCTGAGCTCAACTTCATACCATACATTATCACAAGCTGTAAACTAAAACAAATGAAGAGCAATGGGGTTTCTCTCTCTAGAGAATACTAAGAAAAATGTGTCTTTGCAATATAAGAGTCATAAATGAGTCTTTCTCTATCTCAAGTAAAACTAAAGAACAGAAAACCATTGCATATAGAGATAGAAGTACATACATGCTACAAAACAAGCCATACACATTCTGGAATTCATCCCCATCCATATATGAAAAATAAGTATATACATGCAACAAGAAAATGCTTCAGCATTCAACCATTGCATATTGAGATAGAAGTACATACATGCTACAAAAAAAGCCATACACATTCTGGAATTCATCCCGATCCATATATGAAAAATAAGTATATACATGCTACAAGAAAAAGCTTCAGCATTCAACACATTGGATATGGAGAGAGAAGCAATTAAAATATTGGCATATGCATTCAACATACCCATGGTAAAGAAGAGAAAAAAAAAAAACTTGAAACCAACAGGTTCATCCCCAAATTAAAAATCATAAACTGCTCCTAAAAATAAAAAAATTAGCCTTCAGGCCAATTTACACAATTTCGGGACTTCAATGTACACAGCCACGAAAAGATGCTACAATTCTTAAATTGAGTGCTGTCAATCTACTTAAAGGTGCAGAAAACACAATTGCCCCACTAACGGGTTATCCTTTAAGGCATTTACAACTTTCACTTTCTGCGGCTCAAAATCTGCTCAAAGACATGGTCAAACAATCAGCAAATATAAACTCCAATCTTTTATAGAAGAATTGGAAATATAAGATGATAAGAACAAGCATGGATCATGAAAAATGTATTTTTTAACATAATACCTTCAAGGAATTCATATCTTATCGATTTCTGCTGCCATCTTATGGATCCGAAGTGCACGACGTGTTTTGTCCTTAGCACTGTAAGAGGAAGATAAATTCATATGTTAGCATTTAAATTGATGCTAATACAATTGTAAATTATATACATCAACAATAATGACAATAATACAATTGCAAATCAAATTAATGTAAAGGTGTGTAGTTGTACCTATAACAAACGTACGAAAGGTAGTTCCTTTTGTCACGTCCACTACCATTGCAAACTGCGCATTTCCTTTTTTTGTGCTCTCATCCCTCAGACCGAGCTTTAATTCTTTTAGTGGCTGGTCATCCCTTTGTCCATGCTCGTACAAGTTCAAGGGCATTACGGCAATAATTACTTCCACTTGGTGTGTTACTACAACTACCACAATTGACATCTTTATTTACATGGATCATGGCATTATCTTGTGGACCTCTCTTGCACACGCTCTTTTCATCAAATTGACGAATTCCATTTTTTATTATGGTAATTGTAAACTCATTGCCCTCTACACTTTGTGAAGTACGCTCGGCAAATGATCGACTTGCTTGCATAATCTCATTATATCTAATAGAGCGTGGTAGTTCAGATGTTACTTGAATTTTTTCCCCAATGTCATCAAGGAAAACTCCCTTCTTTGCATCCTTGGTCTAACGCTCCATTATATATTGTAGAGGGATTTCAAACACATCTTTCACCATAAAAATCTTCAGTACATGCCTAGAAAGAAGGCCAATTCTCTCAAAGAAGTTCCAAGAGCAAGAAACAGAATTGTCATGGCAATTGAATTTCACTAAGTAGGATTTAGTTCCAGTCCCCAGGATTGCCACCTTAAAGCTTGCAACCTGACCATTGTCTTCAACTGTCTCCCTCGTAAAATTAAAGAAATTAGTCATTGCTTCCCCAAATATCTTTAAAATCTTTTGATTATAGATTTTGGACGCATGTGTCTCAATGCACGTGGTTGTTCACAAGACTGGAGTAGTTTGAATATCTTTTAAGTCATTTTCCCTCTCTTTTTGCACCTTCTTATCTTTGACTGTTGCAAGCGCAAGCTTGTTGTGGGTGTCAAGTACGGCTTAAAGTATGTATTCCCCTTCACTCCTTTGAGTAGAAGTCAAACCCGCAGTGAATGTGCCAGCTAAGTATGCATTAACCCATTGCATGCGACAACCATAAAACCTACTGAGCCATTCATTGTCTTTCAGGTTATAATTATCAATCATTTATTTCCAACCCGATTCAAATTCTTCAATTGTTGGGCTAGTCACACACCTCCTAAAGGTATATAAATAAGACGGATATATGCGCAAGACATGACACATTTTCTCTTTGATCTTTGCAAATATGTGCCACTTACAATAATGATGCTTACTTTGGTGAAGAACTTGGCTCTCTGCATATGTGATCAGTGAGAATAACACTTGGTTGTTATCCACCCATGGCTTCCAACCAGTTTTCAAATACCCATATAAATGATTTTATCTTCTCGTCAAATATGACTGCAAATCCATAGAAAGTTGTATTGAAATGGTGATTTACACCAAGTATAGGTGCAAAAGGCATACCAAACACATTTATCTTGTATGTGGTATCAAAGGTAACCACATCAAAAAAGCACTGGTAGGAAACTCTAGATGTAGAATTTACCCATAAGATACTGCAAATGTGATCTTCATCATCTAATCTCAATCTATAGAATAAAGATGGGTTCGATTGCTTCTCTTTATCGAGCCATTGTAAAATTAAATTGCTATCTTCTCCTCTAAGTTTTCTTCTAGCACTTGCTATTTCATTTTTAATGTCCTTTTGTGTACACGAGACATTGTCGATCCCTCTAGCCTGCTCTATGAATATGTCATGAATATATCTAGGCTTAACCATTGCCGAGCTCATTGAATGTATCAATGACTTTGTAGCACTCGATAATGATCGATGAGTGAAAATTAAAGAAGCTTTTCTTGGACTAACTAGATCATGATTATGATCTATAACGACGTTAGTCACGTTCCACTTACTGTTTTCTTGACTACTTATGCACATCCTAACCTTGCACCCACACCTTAACTCAGGGTAAACTTTTCTACTTTTATTAGGTTTTTCTTGTTTAAACCCTTCCTTGGAGCAAACATAAACCCTATAGATCCGTTTACGTTTCTTGGTATGAGTAGTCCCTCTGCGAATACTAAAACCTTTGGTAAATACATAAGACTTAAAGAACTCATATGCATCATCCTCTGATCCATACATCATTCTTACACATGGTTCTTCTATTTCTTGACTTTTGTTTGGTGAGCCACAACCACCATCAAGGATTTCATAAATGATGCCTACATTTGGGTATGTTGTAGATGCCACACAGACTGAATTCGTAGGATCCATTTCAGCTTTTTGACTTACCCAACGTGAAACTGCAAACTACAAAAATATATGTATTTAAGCCTTCATCATAAGAATACCAATCATATTTTACTCACCCAGCTTGGAAAAGAATTTATTGCAACTATAATTTAAATAAGGATTATATACAATAAGACCATTTACCATAAACAAAATCTAATAGCATGGGTGTATCACAAATTCAGTTGACTCCACTCATTTCAAGTTCCAAACATCAGTTATCCTTGGAATTTTACCAAGCCAAAATAATCAAGAACCATGTAGGCCCTTAAATATGAGTATTTTCAAGTTGCAACAATTAAAAATAGAAAAAAAAGGGAAGATAGTTATGGTAAAAATTCAACAGTACTCCAAAGCGTACTCCTTAAATAGTCTCTACTACAAATGCCATAAAAAGCTTGAGCATTCTTATATACGTAATCAGAGCTAAAACTTTAATTAGTTAAATTACACTGCATTGAATTCAAGTTGCATTTTGCACCACGTAAAGCTTTTCATCCTATGTGTGCTTACTTACAAGTCTATTCTATCCAAGAGTTGAGCCAATCAACTCACGTTCATACACAATTTATATAGCCGTATGACCTGTTCATAACATTGAAGAAAATCCGAAAATTTTAGAGACCATTTGGGATTTATGAGAAATTTTCGGATTATCATTCTCCATTGTGGGGTTCACCATTTAGGACCACATGTGGCACTAGTATGCAGCAACCAAAGAATCCCCCATGTATGTGAATCCCCCATGTATGCAGGTTTTCAGAGACCAGAAACATCAAGCAGTAAAAGAGGGCAAGAACCCAAATTAAACAATAAATCAATGGAAAAGGGGTTGGACTCTAGATGGTCTTAGATAAACAAGGATGACGAAATACAAATATATGCAAGGACAAAAAAGCATATCAGAGAGAATAAATTAGGAACGCTTAATGAAATAAGGGGGTACAGACCCCCAAAAAATAAACATAGGAATTCACTAGAGCGAAGGTTTTCCTTTGGTTATTTGGGCAAAAAAAGGCTACAGAGAGAGAACAATGTAGACATAGGGTTTTTCTCTGTATTTGGGATATTCAAGAAACGAGCACAAAATTTGAGCAAAAATTGTTGTAAAATTGCTTTGTGTTTGGGATATTTTTTGGCCAGATTTATTTATAGCAAGTTTTGCTCACATTGGGTTTTTCTCATTTAAGGAATTGGGGGAGTGAAAACCAGAGGGAGAGATGGAAATAAAAGCCCTCGAGGTTTTTCTTTGTATTTGGGATATCTAAGAAACAAGTACAAAATCTGAGAAAAAATTGCTCTAAAATTGCTTTGTATTTGGGACATTTTTTGCCAAGATTTATTTATAGAATTTTTTCTCAGATTGGGTTTTCCTCATTTGGAGATTTGGGGGATTGAAAACCAGAGGGAGAGATGGAAATAGAAGCCCCCAAGGTTTTGCTCTATATTTGGGATATCCAAGAAACGACCATAAAATATGAGCAAAAATTCCTGTAAAATTGCTTTGTATTTGGGGCATTTTT